CACAATACTGACAAGTGATTAATAAAAGTCAAAAGACCAAAGAGGTCACCTTAATACCAAAAAAAAAAAAAAAATTAATGTTTTATTTAATAGATATATAATAAAAGTAACAAAAATAACAGAAGTAACAAAAATAACAAAAATAACATTTCTGTTGCTTTTTGTATAGCATTGGATTGAGTAAGGATTATCACTTTGATTCAAGCACTTATGATCCAAAAAATCAGACTCACAATACTTAAATTTTTTTTAAATTTTGATTCAGACAGGTTATAAAAACCAATTAATTAAGTTTATATAACTTTAAGATACAAATCTTTTTGCACTAGACCATATGCATTTATATTCTAAATAATGTCCAAAATGCGTTGATGATTTAAAAATTTTATCAGCTAGTTTGATTATACTTTTATAACTATTATCTATTTATTCACTATTAGACCAAAAATCATTTTCACCTTTCAACTGTGTTAGTAGTTAATTTTCTTATTTGAATATTATTCTGTATCAAGTTTCAGGCTTATGTTATTTTATAAGATATACTCTTGTCAAAAAGTCCCAAATTATCCTCTTAATGGTAAAAATTGCAGAATTTTAATTTCAAACTTAATTTTTTTATTTAGATTCAATTTTTCTTATAGTATTCTTTTTAATATAATTGATAATTATTTCTCAGTTTCGACTTGAAATATGGAACAAATTACTTTCTGCTAACACAGTATTTTTTTTTTTAGTAAAAGGTTAACCTTTCAAGCTTTATCAATAATAAGCATTAGTACATTTAATATCTCATTGCCAAACCAGTAAACTGAAACTAAAGATTTTTTTCATAATACGGCAAGAAATCCGTAACATATGACCTATACAAAAAACTAAGTGTGAAAAGAAGGTTTATTATTGGCTTATTTTCGTCGATTATTACGTGACAGTAAAAATTGCATAGTAATTTTTCTGGCGATCCTGGGGTAGTTATCACGAATATATCACTAGGTCCACTGACCTTGAGACTTCCCAGAATCACTTCATTCTCCATAAAATCATATATATCGTTGTCATCGTTGCATTCTTTTCTTAGTATTTAATCAATTATATATTTTTAATTTTTAAAAAAAATAAAAAAAGAACTTTGTTCTGTTACGCAAAGAAATTTTGTAGATTTCATTATCTCATTGTCAATCTAAATGAGTGGACACATAAGTTTATTAAACTTTTTTACATTGACTAAAAATAATTTGTTTATAGAGTGTGAAAATAATATTAATTTAATTGATTTTTTTTTTCTAAAAAGGAATAAATTTCACTTATATTTCAATTTTTATTTATGATATTTTAATATGATATTCAAAATCAAAACAGATCATAAAATTTTATTTAGATGTATGATGTGTTTATATATTATAAAATTCTTTATCTTTTTAGTTATTTGAAATTATAAATACCCTATCTTATTTAGTCTCAAATCTAGTTTCTAGAAATCAATTCCATGGGAAACTTCCGTAGATCTATAACTATATAAGCCAATTCCACGGGAAACTGCCGTAGATCTATAACTACAGTTTCAGCATTGGGAGTAGTTGGTGTAGGCTGAATTGTAGATTGAGTAGTATTTAATTGAGTTGTGAATAGTTGTGATGTGAATTGTTGAGTTGTAGTCACATTTAGAAAAGTTTGAGAAGGTTGAGCAGGTTGTGGAGGCTGAGTGACCTGAGCTCCAAGAGGCCGAGTAAACAGATCTTCATTTTGAATAGTAGTTTTTATGTCGTCATCATCATTGATAGGAATAAAAACACCAGCAACAAGACCAAGACCAAAACCAAAGGCACCAGCCATGGCACCGCCAAATTCAGCACCAATGGCACCAGCTGCACCAGCAACAGCTGCTACGCCTGCACCGCCACCAGCGCCACCGCCTCCCCGTTTACCTCCCTTATCCTTTCCTTTTTCCTTGTCCTTTCCCTTTTTCCCTGTTTTCTGCGGTCGCTTTGTTTGCTTCGGTCGCTTTGTAGGAGATTGCGTTGTAACCTTAGGAGATTGCGTTGTAGCCGTAGAAAATTGTGTTGTAGCGTTAGAATTTTTCGTTGTAAAAGTAGAATTTTGCGTTGTAAACGTATAATTTTGCGTTGTAAACGTAGAATTTTGCGTTGTAAACGTAGACTTTTGCGTTGTAAACGTAGAATTTTGCCTTGTAGCCGTAGCCGTAGAATTTTGCGTAGCCGTAGGAAATTGCGTAATTAACGGGGGACAAAAGTTATTTCTATTAGCAAATTTTATAAAGTTTTGCTTGAGATCGATCGCAAAATAAAAGTTCTTTAGAAAGAAATAAATAATGATTAATAATGATTAATATTCAAACGTTATGACTTCTAAATAAATTACTATATTGATTTCTTTTATAAAACGGTTTTTTTTTTATATATATTTACTTGAAGAAATGGAATTCCAAATATCCACGTATTTAATGGACCAGATCTATCATCCACAACAGCTATACAACCTTTTCTTAAACCTACGCTATTATCACAGATTGCATTACTTGGCAGGTCAAATTTCACTGTTTCATCATTACTTAATGTGATATCAAACGATATATTCACGGGTTTTGGTATTTTCCATCCTTCAGGCGATTTGGTAGCATTTATCAACCTAAAGAAATCAACTGAAGCCTTGCCAAAAGAAATTCTATCACTTCTAGTGTCAAGAATTGAATCAATTGAAGATACATCGACAGGAATGTCTCCAACATATGCTGCGTTAATTTTTATTGAATGAAACGGTTCCGATTCGTTTAACCTTGATATATTATGCAATGATCCTATAAAAAATTTTTTTTTGAATTACATGTAATTGTATAAATTTTATAATTTCTATTTACGGATTTTTATAGCATATGAGATGCCACTAATGATATCACTAGTGATATTACATAAACAAATCTGGCTAAATATCAGTAGAATAAAATAAGGAATTTAATTTGATTGTTTTCGTGATATCAATAGTGCTATTTTAAAGTTATAAAAATCTGTGTCTACTAAATTTGATGATTATTGCAAACCTCTAATGAATCTATTATCTATTCCTCCAAGTGCGATCGAACCAACACTGCAGTTACCTAGGGGAAACGCGAATCCAATAACTTGATCTAAATTAGAATCATCTAATTTTTTCCACAACTAATTATTTTATAAATGTTAGAAATTTATATGATAATATAATATGATATAAATATAGTCACCTGAGATTCACGTGAGAGTCCCATAATTCCTTCAACAGCTG